CTATTGAAAAATAAATATTCTGCTGAATATGGCCAATTATAAAAAGATATACCGAGCTACTGCCATATCTATACAAACTGCCTTTCACTTTGTAGAATTTCACATCGCGCACACATTCAATTAAAAATATTAGTAATAAGAAAATGTTGACAGTGCAACGTGCATTATTACATATATGTATGTCTAACTGCACAATTAGACGCAGCATATAAGATGCATAAATTTGTCTATTATTTATTACAGAAAATTAATAAATATTAGTAATATATAAATTATTAATCCTATTGTTTACTTATACCTTCTAAGTGTATATATACAGGATGTTCCTCGCGTCAGTCGTAACGGTTTTTAAGATACTTCCGATGAATTGACACAAAATGTTCTCAACAAAAATTTGTTGGTTTCTAATAAAAAATCAATTACATAAAAATTTCAAATTGTCATTTTTTAATAAAAAAATCAAATTTATTTTTCTAAATCGAATTATATATTTTTCTTTCTATAGTTTGTAGTACATAAAAAGACAAATTCGATAGTGTTATATATCATTTTGATTATTTGATCTCAAGATGTTTCAATTAATATAGTTATAACATAATTCATGAATCTGTCGTCGATACTTAAAGTAGTATGCTATATCGATGAATTTATCTTTTTATGTACTACAAGAATATGGAAAGAAAAATATATGATTCCATTTTAAAAATATAATTTGAGTTCAATTTTTTTTATTAGAAAATGAGCAAATTTGAAATTTTTCTTAAAAAATTAATTCTTTATCAGAAACCATTTTTATTAGAAATATTTTGTTCTCAATTCATCGGAAGTATTTCAAAAACTGTGGCGGCTGATTTGAGGAACACCTTGTATATTAATATATATATTAATTTTTTTACATTGATAATTATGTATGATACATACGTAATAGACAACATGTCACTACCGTCATGTAACGTTCAAATGCATCTCTTAATTCGCCTTCTCTGTGATAAACATTGAATAATTAACGTTTCTTAAAGTTCCTAACATTTGAACATCTTATTCATAATATTAATTATTATGAGTCTTACCTAAGTACATCCATGTCAAGAGCGCACTGTGTATAGACAGCTAAGAAATTCCGTAGATCGGAATGCGTCCAATTGACTTGTCGCCAAGGTTCAATACATCTCTCCACCAATTCCAAAAAGAAAAATCTCAATTCTCGTGATCTATGCAAGTTGCATCCAATACAGAGAATCGCTCTCGAATACGAACGGAAATTTACGTCCAGTTCTTGATAAGATCGATCGAGAAGCATTGGTTTGAGTTTAAGGCATACTAAACTGGAATATATCAATATTTTCCTGTGATTTTTATAATAAAACATAATTTGTTATTTTATATACGATATAATATACTGTTTGTGATGTTTATCATTTTCTAGAAGAACTCTGCATTCTGATAATTCCTGTAAGAATTCCCTGTCCAAGTCCGTATCGAAGTATTCGGATCCGACACATCGATATGTCCACGACGACATCATACTATTAGCACAATGGTATAGATCAGGAAACGTTAAAAACTGTAATTTTCTTTTATTCATTTCAAATCGCAGGCATGCTATAAACACCACTGCAGCGTATCGTCTGTGCAATTAAAAACAATTAGTTTATTTATATTATAAATATTATAAAATTATATTATAAAATATTATAATTTGCATGATGTTTATTATAATTGGATTGTGTATTCACATTAAAATATATATATATACACAGTTTCTAAAAGGAATTATATATTATACATACTTAGCAAGATCCTCAGAAAGTAAGAAATGTTGTTTGATATTGGTTGCAAGAGAGCCTGGCAAATCTTCGACAGTTTTAAACACCCTTTTTACATTGTCGTATTGTCTTCTACAGCTCTTCAACGTAATTCCTGTCTTTTCTGCTACCTCATCCATATCTTTTCTACTTTTAGATGTTATTTTTTTTCCCAATAATTCGCGTATAACGACATCATCAAATTCGTAATACCTGAAATAAGTAATTATTTATGTCAGCATCAGGAAATTATTAACACTCTGGAGCTGATGCAAGTCTATTGGACCTACTCAATTATATTCCTACAAAGTTGATGGTGGGTTTATTGGACCAATATGCAATGACTGTTTGACTAACAAAGATTTTAATGTGTAAAATTAATTTAGCTTTCTTTGTGAAGTAGTTTTAAGATTAAAAAAAATACGTTATTATATTTGAACTTTAGTTTTTAATTCTTACATTGATTTTTGTAACAACTGTCATTTCATACAATGTCAAACAGTTCAACTTTTTTTATGTTATATCTGTGAATTTTTAAACTATTTTTATTAATATACTTAATATTTCTTCTTTTTTATATTATGTTATTTTGATTTCATCAAATTAATAGTGACTTTTAGTCAACATACACTAAATGGAAATAAAATAAAATAATAATATTTGTAGCTACAAAAATAAATCTAAGTAAAATGTAAAGTTTTATTGTAGTTTGTATTATATTTCTATACTGAAGAAGATTCCAATCCGAGAATCAAAACGTTTTAATTTAATTTCATTTGACAACATTCCAATTGAATGCAAATTGTATTATTAAGAATATATAATTTATGTGCTAATATTCGTGGAAATATAGGCTTTTTTTGTATTAAATTAAATGAATCTCTTGGACTTCTAGTGTCAGTAATTATTATAAAATTTAGCGTCAATTCCAAAGAGTTAATAATCCCATAATTTAACATAAGAATTTACGACGACCATTCTTATTTCTGTGCTGATAAAAGCTAGAAAGTAGTCGAAATATACATTTTTTAACGATTTAATGTTAAACATTGTTAGAAACATCATGTTAATAGTTTAAAATTAAATATTTTGTACTCTCTCTCTCTGTTTACAGCGTCGATTTCCATTAGCCCTAATGTATCAATTATCTTTCATAGTCTGAGTTATAATCCGATAATTTGATTAGAAGGTCGCATCACGCATATTCTTACATTTCTATGAGCATTTGACTAGTCTGTGGTTCGATTTGAAAGGCTAGCTGCTCACTGGCGAGTTTCGTAGGAGTGTGAAGCAGTTTTTCGAGTAAAGCATAGGTGCGATAGTGATCAAGGATGTCAGATGCAACCAATTCGATCGGCGCATTGGTCTGCTGACAGATTCCTCGTTGATGTAGAATGTTAACTGCGTCACTAGCTAGAAAAAAGCATCCATTAGATTTATAGATCCAAATAATTTCTCGTGCAGGTAAAAATCAATGGAGGCTGTTATTTCCTCCACTCACAAGTATGTCCGTCGACCCACAGCTGATAGATCTCGGGATCGACCAACGTATAATTGCTAATAAATACGTCCACCTCGGACAGCATGTTGAGGTTATGTTTGCGTTGTTACGTTATGCAATCGATTACAAACGCAAGATCATTCCGGAAACCACGCTTACATTGTTCCTTGACGAGAAAGTTAACTAATAGGGATTATCGTCACGTTTTCGTCTTAAAAATAAGAGAATTTGGTAATTATTTAGATAAGCCCCCCGCAGCTCAAAAATCAACGAAATTAGGCTTACTTGACGCATTTTTGCATAAAACGAAGGAATCTGGCAGAAAAAAGCTTTACTTTGCCCCGCGTCTGAGATGTTAATCATTAAAGTTCACTACTATTTAGGTTAGGAAATCTGTCACAGCTACGAAATCCTCAATACTGCGATGCGACAAGTAGTTTATTTTTTGTTCCTGCACTAGACTGCACTAGCACTCTCTTTCAACAAATATCAAACTGTAGCAACTCGCTACCAGAGGTCCAACGGGACCGAAATACGTATGTACGTGTTTTTTGACGCCTGGAATCAATTTAGATTGCTATTCTATTTAAAGGAAATTCGCGTGGCTGCGGTGCTCTCGTGAATCCGAGCGAGTTCCGTTGGACCTCTGGTGGCGAGTCGCCACAAAACATATACCTATCTCACTTCAAGTTTCAAAAGTGTACACTAGTTCAGCCACAGAAAACAGACCTAAGGACAAGCGCTGCGGTCACAACACGGACAGTGTCAAGCTGGACAAAGCGGCTAGATTGCTCGCCGAGTGAATGTGATTGGTTGGATCTATAAGGAACAACCAATCATATTTATTTGTTTGGCGAACAGGCTAGCCGCTTTGTCGACTTGAACGCGCCCATATATTTCAATAGGCGCGAGCTGGATCTGTCGTAGGCTCTACATCTGATTTTTTAACAAATTTTATTGTGAGTACCGAGCCATTTCTATATCAGGTTCATATCAGACGCGAGACTGGATTTTTTGTGGGCCATGTCAGATTTTTTTTAAGTGGTTACGGCATGGCAAAAGTATTGTGGCGCGCTGGCCATCCAGCTAGTAAGATGACTTTTAATTTCGGCCCATAAATTCGGTCATTAATAATTTATCTTCGACATTTAGACATCGCTATGACGTAATTATGTTAAATTTTATTGACCTCATTAATTTATGTCATAATGACGTTGGCACATGATGTAGAGATGACGTTTCTGCAAACGTTATAGCAGTATAGTGGCACTACTGTGGATTTCTACCAGAGTATCTTCCTAATTATTTTTCAAAGTTAAAAATAATTCTTTTTATTAATAAAAACAATTATTTTCAACTTAAAGCAATTTTTAACTATTATCAAAAAAATTTTGATAACTTCACACAAATACTTTTGCGACACACACACACACACACACACACACACACACACGCACGCACACACGCATCATATTAATATTATAAAATTTAACGTGAACTTTCTTTAATTACGGAAATTAATTCTACAGTTCATACTTAACTTCCATTACTCGA